ATCGACCACTAAAAACAAGTCAAATGAAAGCCCATTTGCACCGTTCCTCTGAATGACATATGTGTGTCTGGACATTTGACTGTTTGAGGTCTGAGCTGTGGCAATAGGAAGGAGCAGACATTTGTACAGAGAAGAATAAGTAGCATTTGTTAGCCCATACATTTAAGGGTCTTGAGAGAGAGAGAGAGAGAGTGTAATAGACTCTGAGATATGATGTATTTGGAAGGAACAGTTTCACCATTTGAGGAGGTGGGGAATTTTTTGGTGTAAAGAGTTTAGCATTAAACGTGTTTGATCTCCATTTAAGCCAGTCAATAAATACCTGTTATGAAACTGAGCTGAAAGACACAGTTCAGTATATGCTAGAAATTCATGTTAGAAATACTAAAAATAAATACATTGAATATTAGAACTCGAAACAGAGACAGTATAAAAGGATAGATTGAAGAGTTCTGCTATAAATACAATGGACCAGTTGTGTCAGAACTGACCATGTTGCAGCTAACAACAACATTGACTTGGGGTTTGTGTTTATGGCAAACAGTTGCCTACAATTTGGCTTATAAAATATTTCACAGGATTTGGAAAATTCTTTATAAAATAGAAAAATATAAGGGATGTTTTTTATAGATTTATTGAAAAGGAAATTGGATTTGGAAATGAGGCCAAAAATGGCCTATTCCCCATCCCCTTACTACTAAGGTTTTTAGAGGCAGTAGCACTTCAGTGGTTTGATGGTTCTGCCTCACCTCTGTAACTTTAGTGTCTTATCCTCCTCTGTGTAACTGTCTTTAATAATTAAAGCACACTTTCACTGAGTCATGGTTTTGTCAGTAAGAGAAGAAATTCTCTTTCCTCCCGTCTAGAGCCATCCTCAGATCAAGATGAGCCAGATTCTGCTTTTGAAGCAACTCAATACTTCTTTGAAGATATCACCCCAGAATGCACACATGGTAAGTGGCTATTCTCATCAAGGGCACCACGTTCCTGTTATGCACAGACCTCTGTGATCAGATGAAGGTCTGCTTCCAGAGGTAATCAAAGAAGTCTGTGAATACAGTTGCTTCCTATATTACTTTCCTAAGCCAAAAATGTTTACTCTCTGACACTTTACAGAAAAAGTTTGCAGACACGTGCTCTGTTTGACCACATAGACATTTAATCATTGTTTATATTTGAAAATTTATATATTAAGACCTATATTATTTTGTCTTCATGGGTCTGAAGAATATCTGTTAATTTACAGGTGATTATTTGCTTTGTAATTGGGGCAGTTCTGTGGCTTTTTCCAAATCTACAAGTAATTGTCTGTTACTCCTGAGTCTTTTGCTTCTTAAATGTTGCCATTCCAAAATAAGCATAGTTTAGACCAGCTTTTAAACTGTGAACACTTAAGTGATTAAGTGGAGAGGGGTGCACTAGACATTGTTTTATTATTAGGTCTCTGAGGTGGAGGACAGGATCTTTGGTCAGGATGCTGCTCTGCAAATTGTTCTTTCTGTGGCCTCAGGAAGGCTCCCTGTGTGAAAAGTAATGTCTTACTGGATGTTATAGATTAAATGAGATGGCACAGGAAGTCTTTACCATAGTCCTTTATTAGAATGTCCTAGAATCCTCTTACCTTTATTAGCAATTGTATTCCTGCTGCAAAACGTTAGAAATATATTTATTAGCAGACTCATTTCATAAAAGGATTCGCTTATTTCAGAAATGCATCTGAAGTGTTAAAATACAAGACATGTAATAAAACTTCCATTTTGTGTAAACAACAAA